GGGAAGGCAGGCAGGACACATGGCCTCTGCACGCTCTCCACGGTGGCCTAGGGCTATAGAGGAAGACCCATCTCGGGCAAGGTGGCCGGGCAGGGAGACTGGACTGGCTCCTTTCTGGGCAGGAGTCTACGGTTTCCATGATGGCAAATTGAAGGACAGAAAAGGACAGGAGTGGCTTCAGGGTGGAAACAGGCAAGAGTTACAAATTCACCATAAAATGGCGAAATCTGATTAGGAAATTCAATTAGCCGGGCCTGCAAGTGGCAGATGGGAGCCAGGGGGGTCTGGCACGTTCTCCCAGGGTTTGGGGGAAGGAGCAGGGCTCTCTCTGGAGAGAGCTTCTCCACCAGCCGAGACCAGGGCTGCAGAGAGCCACCTGACCGTCCCGATGTCCTCCAGGGCTGCAGAGAGCCACCCGACCGTCCCGACGTCCTCCGGGGCTGCAGAGAGCCCTCTGACCGTCCCGACGTCCTCCGGGGCTGCAGAGAGCCACCCGACCGTCCCGACGTCCTCCGGGCCTGCAGAGAGCCCTCTGACCGTCCCGATGTCCCCCGGGGCTGCAGCGAGCCACCTGACCGTCCCGACGTCCCCCGGGCCTGCAGAGAGCCCTCTAACTGTCCCGACGTCCTCTGGCCTGCAGAGAGCCACCTGACTGTCCCGACATCCCCCGGGCCTGCAGAGAGCCCTCTGACCGTCCCGATGTCCTCTGGGGCTGCAGAGAGCCACCTGACCATCCTGATGCCCTCTGGGCCTGTCCCTGCAGGAGGACATGCTCAGCTCCAAAGCCAGTGGTACTGCTTTGGTCTCGCCTTCAGACTCTGATGACCCAAGTGGCCAGTGTGGCCTGCCTTCTTGTGCTAGCCTGGGACTTTGGGGCCACGTCTTCTATTGCAGCCATGGGAATCAGCCAGATGACCCCCGTATTTCTGGGAAGCAGGCCCAGAGGGAGCTCAGCGTCTCCTGCTGTCTTTGGAGGCCTAGCCACAGGGAGACCCTGTGGGGCTTCCGGCCCATCTCACACCTCCCTTGAGATACCCATGAGGACACTGTCCATCTGAGGACGAGGACTGACATCACTCAGGTCACAGGGACCACGGCTGGTGGCTGGAGAATGTAAACTGCCCAGGACACCTCAGGAGAGCCCAGCTCAGATCCAGCCATCCCACCTCCACCCCAGGGTCCCAGAGAGGAACTGGAGGGACAGGGGCCAGGCGTCAGCC